CTGCACCCATATTACTATGTAAATGTAATTTCCTCAATAAACCTTGAACAGTGAGTATGGAAGGATACAAATTGTTCAGAAAAAGAAGGTTTATCCATAGTGTCCAGGCTTTTTGAAATTTTCTAGTCGAATAACTTGAAGGGGCCCTCATTTTTTTAATTTATTAAATACCAGGCCATTTTATTTTTGACCTGAGTAATTACGGAATTGCAAACCACCATGCCCTGACCAAGGTCTGCTTGACTGCAGTAAAGATAAAGGTGGTTAGCAGGTTTCAAACTAAGGAGTGCCTCATATGGGTTTTTATGAAGACCCCTACCCATATATATCAACTGAAAGACTTTAATCCAAAGTCTTTTACATTTTTGGGCAATTCCACCATTTATTACTTAGGGTACCTACTGTATGCCTTCACATTCTCTGAAGCATTTATTGGAAGTTAAAAGTAGAACTTTTAACAAAATAATCAACATTGTTTTTGTCTCTTTTTGTAAGTGTACCTTTAATCCTTTAAATACATTTTTCTGGAATAAGCTACTGTGCCTGTAAATAAGTCAGCCAAATACATTCCAAGTAACTTTTGTATTAGGCTTTGTTCAATCTACTAGCAGTGTGCTTAAGTACAACAAAGATTGTTTTCAGTAATGACCAAGCCAAGCAAATCTAACAGTAAATGCCACCTTTTGAAAATATAACTTCACTTTGTTCTTTGTTATGAGTTGAACGAAAACATTGAAATGTTGATTTGGCGCCAGGATTTGTTATTTCTTGTACACATGCTGGCATCTAAGCTCATCATAACATGAAACACTGGTAAGCGTGTTAGGATATCAATATGGTAAACTTATTGGAGATTTTTACCTACTGTATACCTGTAACAAATTGGGGGGATTCAAACGCAATATTAAAAAATGCAGAATTACAGGTTAACTTTAGTAAAAATCATTAAACATTCAGTAGATCCACAGATAATATGACACTATAGCATGTGTTTATAATAAATCTGTAGACTCGTTCCTTCTGTGAAACGCACGCTTGTTCTGGGTGAATGGAGGCAAAAATGAAAGCTATTTTATGTAACATTAGGTACATGCTGCATTATGGCTGCTAGTTAGAGCTAAGAAGCATAGGAAAGAAGTATTTATTTCCTATGCTCCTCAGCTCCATCTAGTGGCCATAAAGTGGTATTTTTCTGATATTACATTTGAAAAGAAGGAAAAGAAAATGTACCAATAATATGTGTTTTTTTGCCTCCATCCACACTGAACATGGAGCCTTGCAGCATGAAAGGCTCTGGGTTTATTTTTTATAAATGCACCCATGTAGGTAAAGTACATGTCAACTTTTTTTTCTAACAATTGAGCCTATCCCTGTCGTTCCACTACTGCCAAACAAATCACTTTGAAGCTGAACTTCAGGCAGACAGTTAAATAAGCAGATAAAATAAAGACAGCTGTTTTAACCACCAAAGGATTTGTATTCTTGTCTATGCAGGGCAGGGTATTCTTGTCTACCTGGCAGGCAGGAGACCTGATTACTTTTCTACTGTAGTTCAGTAGCACTTACAGGACTATTCCCCATCCCAGCCTGTGACTGGACAGTGAAATGAGAAGCAGCAAACTAATTGTACAACTGATAATCGCCTTGTGCTGCTTCTTCCTCTTGTAGTCTGAGTTCTGCTGTGCAAAGACTGCAAGGCTTATACAAAATTCAAGAGGCCTGCGCTGAGAAAATACATAGACTATCATTGATTAAGGTGACACTAAACTCAGGAGTTAAATCTTAAAAATGCATTCAAGTATCCTAACTATTAACAATAACGTATTTTATTTGTGTATCACTCAGCTGTAGATTCCCAATTCATCTCTGAATTCATGCTGACACTGTCCTTCCTTCTGGAGGGTCACTATTTTTGTTTCCTACGGTCCCTGTGTGTGTTGTAAAGTAGCCACTGCTCCAA